AAACCCCAAAACCCCAAAACCCCGATAGAATAAATTCATAGTATTTCATTTGAATGCTAGATTAAGATTTTAAATAAATCAAAAGTTAAAAACCTCATCAGTTTTAGTATCATCTTCATTTTTCTTTCTCTAATCTGCTTTTTTATTGTCAGTTCCTGCAAACTTATCGTACAATATCTCCTATTATAATTCTTCTTCAATTTGATCAATGTCCTTTTTGGCATTTCTTCTAGTCTTCATAGTCAATTATGGTACTTCAACTATTGGCACGCCACCAATGTGAGTTTTCTTTCTTGGCTTTACTTGCTCATCTGTATTGCCATCTTTGCTTCTATCCTTTTTGCTTTATGAGTTATTATCTGAGTCCTCACTACCACTGGTGCTGCCACTGCTGCTTGAGCCGCTATGCTTCTTTTTAGATTTCTTCTTTTTTTATGGTCTGTAACGATCCTTCTTCTTTTTCTTCTTTTTATCTGACTTTTTCTTTTGCTTTCTTCGCTCTTCCCTTTCTGCCTCTTTTTATCTTTGCTATTCCAGTTTAATTTATTTCGCTTCTTCATCTTTTAAAGTTTCTCGTCTGAATTCCTCAATGACTTCATCGCCTGCTCCATCACTAGAATCATCCTCATCTGAGTAAAAATTAAGGTCTTAAAGATCTGGCATCTGAAGCCCATCATTAGGAAGTCTATCATAGATATCTTCAAGGGCTTAGGCACTTCCATATTTTGTAAGTTAATGCATTCTTTTTCGCTTTTCCTCTTCCTGCCTAGTAAACGCTTTTAATTTCATTCTACCTGGAACCATTAGATCATACATCTTAGCTGTTTTTCTGCCATCAGCTGAGGTGCCATCATTATCTTCCATTTTAATATCATCATTATCATCTGATGGATAGTAGTCGACTTCGACTTTACGTCTCCTGACTGGCACAATGCCTCCTTTATGCTTTGCCTTTTTATTTCTATTTTTCTCGGCTAGTTTATCAATAAAGTTTTAAAGCTTCTTCTATTGCTTTGCTTTTTGCTACATATCTCTCGTAGTTGGATCATCTATGTTAATCTCATCTCTCCATCTCTTTATGTAATCAAAATTTCTGATATGTTTGATCTAGAGTGCGTTCATAAGACAAAATGAGTGTGAACAAATCATATCATTCAAATAATAAAACTAGCATCTGCATCTAATTGCTTTTGTAATAATATCTTTTTCAACTTCGAATTCTTAGTTTTTATCTGTTTTTATGAGGAAAATAGATTCATTTCTGGTGTCTTAGGCTGTATATTTATAGGATTCAATCATTTAATGTAGCATCAGAGAAAGTGCATATGGACTAAATCTCCTCTTCATTTAAATATAGACAGGGTGAAGGAAATATGAATGAGCTTCTTTTGAGTTTGTTTCAAGACAGCATTCTCTCATAGATAATCTCTTAGCCAGATCAATGACATCCATCATTGAGTGTTCATATTTATGCTATGTTTTAAAAAATCCCTCAACTGATGCAGCTCTTTCATTAGAATGTAGACCTGCTGTGAAAAGTTTATCAAACGATCTAATTGACCATTTCTCAGAATTATCGAAAATTCTAATGATCTCAGTTTACAAATTGGGATCGAGAACTCCAATCATCTTGAGGATTTCTTGTTAAAGCTAGTTGAATCTCTCATTATCAGTTTCAATGACGATTTTCTCGAAAAATTCCTGAGCAACTGAAAAATCAAAATCCATTCTCTTTTTATATGGATTTAAAGCTTCTTTTGCAGCCAAAAGTAAGTAATGTTGGGAAATTAAATGTCTTGAGTTTAGAAAAACTTCCTACTTGGCATCTAAAATATCTTACTCTAAACTTGTAATCAGCACATCAGGCAACTGAATGTCATTGTCCAGACATCTTTAATTAAACTACTTGAAAATAAGTTGATAAGCCTCTTTGCACTTAATATTGGTAAAACCAGTAGCAAATACTACAGCTCTACCAAAATTATTAATGCCAGTCATATGTATCTAGAAGATTCCATACTTATTCTTTCTCTTCTTACTCACACTTACTAGCATTACATCACGATACAATCTGTATGTCTCAAGCATATCTTAGCTTTAGAAGAATACAACCACTGGAGTGCCAGTTTTAAGTTTAATGTAAGTATCTGGATACTTTTATTAAACTGCCTCAATGTCATTTGCTAGTTATTTTATGTCAAGCTTAACATCACCCTTAATCAATTTTAAAGCATTCAGTACATCTAAATGCCTTAGCCTTCTTTAGTATTACTAATAAATCTTTTGAATGACTTCACTAACTTAAATATCAATGTTGTCCATAACGTAATGCTTAATGTCTCTTAGAATATAATTCTCCAGAAAACATCTCTCGTCTAATTCTAATCTATGATCATGAACGTATTTGAATTGCTCCACTCTATCAAACCTCTGTTCCATCTCGTTCCATACAAATCTTACATTTACATTGCAATTAGAAACTTTAGGTAATCTGCCTTGATCATATTGATAGTACTTGGTATCATATTTAGGTTGGTTTCTTAAATAACATGATAGTGAGAAAAATTGAGTCTAGCAGTTTCCATTCATATCAGGCTCGCTTCTCTAATGCTCATATAGCCTGAATTGGATTTTATTGAGATATCCATTACTATTATATACATCAAGAGCTTCATGCATATTTTTAAAATGCCTTGGATAATAGCTAAAATTGAAGGCAAATTTTGGATCATTCATTTTTCTAATTTCATCTTTGTTGAGTTCTAAGTTGTCGAGTTCGACATCTCTAAAATCAAAATTACCATCAATATTGTGAGCACAGCTATTCATATTTTCTTCATCTGAAAATTCATCGTGCATTACGCTAACACCAGAATCTGAAGCTGTTGGAAGTGGAAGTTACATAGGCTACTAAACTTAAGGATGATGCTACTATTAGAGCTATTATTGCTAGATTTATTGTTGTGTTTATCGCAAAACTAGATCGCTTATTTAATTGTTTAAGCTATCATATTCTCCAACCTGAGGAATCATATTATGAGGCTTGATTATCATAGAAGATTACTAAGGATAGGCTTAAAATAGACCTTGAGAGGTCTACATCTGTTATGAAGTTTGAAAAGGAGAATATCCCATTGGATATTACTGATATTAATTGGGATAATTTTATTGATTTAAATTTGGTTATTTTGAATAGAAAAAGTTGTTTTAGTCTGTCATTATCTTTTCTGTTATTTGCTGCATCTCAATTCCGAGATGATATTTTGGGGTTTTGGGGTTTTGGGG